CCCCAAAACCCCAAAACCCCAAAACCCCTCTCCAAATAAAATAATAAAATACTTTGATTAAGATGTCATCCCCTCCAAAGACTCCTCCAGAACTGCCTCCTTTCATTACTTCTATATTACCGACTCCTATTTCTAAGCCCACAGGGTCTGAATCAGAAAAAGAATTTGCAAGTAAGATCAATTCAGTACAATCTGAGATTTTATTATCCATGATGCTGCTTTATTGTACACATTATTAAGAAAAATAAACTAATAGAATGAATTTATGAATATTCTACATTCTTTTTGAAAAAAGCAAAATTTAGTTTAAATACTTCAGAATGCTGATTTTAGAAAACCTGTGCGTTCATTAGGTCGCTATATTTTAGATACATCCCTTTGAGGAAATTTAATCGTTATTTCAATTGATAAACTAACTTTTCTTACAGCAAACCCTTCAAAATACACTCATGAAGAATGGCAGAGTATGAACCTGTTTATTCTGCAAAAATCAATCATGGATGCTCTTGATAAAGCATTCACTGATAAAAATTACTGTGTAACCAAAGGAAAGATGGATAAATTCCACTTCTGCAGGGTTGTACTAGAAACAGTAGAAATCAAAGAATGTAAGCTTAATTTCATCTCTAGATGAAAAATAAAATCTTCCTTATCAATGCTATCACCCAACTTTTCGGAGGAAGAGGTAAGTCTGGACTTGTAATTACATAGAAACTATTGAAAAAGTTGATGTTGCCAACTACTTTATTGACAACGTAATTCACATTGATGAGAAATTGAAATAACTCAGAGCAGAAGTATGTATACAAAGGATTGGAGAAAACCTTTCCAGCTCTGTACTTTTCCAAAGAACTAGACTCCTTCTCTCCTTTAGTTTATGGCAATAGTGATCAGATCATTAGAAGGTTTGAGAAGGACAAAATTATTCTAAACAGAGTTTTTGAGCGATCAAAGATTCTCTTCATTGAGAGAGAGCAAAGAATCATCGGCTGTGAGGTCGATTGTAGTGGGTTCAAAGTTTACACACCTAAAGGAAAACTTGAAAAATCTGTGGATCTTGAGCAAGCTAATCATTTGAAGTACACCAAAACTATGTGTATAGCATACTCTTCATTTGAGAATAGAATTGGAGCCGTTAATAACGACCATACTCTTTCATTTTGGGATATTCAGGATAATTGTAAGTTTGAAAAGGTTATTCATTCAAAGAAATAAAACCCTTGAAGACCAAATTTATTATATCAAGCATATTGGAACGTGGTTAACAATTGACCAGGAGTCTAACCTCTACCTCTGGAATCTAGAGGAAGAAACTTCAGAAGCGTTGATTAAGAAGCACAAGGGAACAGTACTTGCTTTCCAAGAGATCATTCACCAAAGAATGGTTGTCTTCAGTACCTTACAAAAACAGTTAGTATTTTGGAATTTGACTCTAAAAGTCTGAACTCAAATAATCAACCTTGAGAATGTATCAATCCACACAATGTGCTTTTTGCCTGATTATAAGCTGCTGGCAACTTCAAATTTCGGGAACATTATGAAAAAGACAGACCCTTACCTCAGTTCGAAATGAAATGTGATTCTATGGAGGTTTATTGACCAGGATATCTCAAAGGTAGGAGAATTACTCGGTCATACTTCTCAAATAGTCGCTGTGGACTACCTGATGAACTCTCCTGCTCTCATCACCTGTGATGACACAGGAGTGATCAAGACTTGGGACATCAGAAGCTGCCAGTGTGTCCAGACCTACACTAGTGACTCAAAAATAGTAATTCATAAGTTCCTTAATATTGATGAGAACACCTTTATTGGCATTTCCAAGAGATGCCTCTGGTTTACATATGAAGAATCAGACGAACAGAGAAAGATATGCAAAATGATCTTTGAATATAATGCTGACTCTAATGAACTTTATGTAGGTACCAGGACTAATATCAGATGAGTTGACTTACACTCAGGCAAGACGACAAGAGTTCTAGCAAATGTTGTTGAGAAAGGCGAGGAAATTACCAAGATATGTCTCCATTCCGATAAGGCAAATCTTTTAGTCGGAACTAGCACTGGAGCAATATAAAGCTAATCTCAACTCTTGACGGAAGTTTCAGAAAAAAGTTATTCTCTCATAAAAAGGATGTCTGCAGTATTGTGACTGACTCAAAGAATGGCTTAATCATCAGCGCTGGGATTGATTCAAAGATCATGGTGCAGGGAGAGAAATTTGAGAAGCCACTAAGAGTGCAGAAAAGAGCTCACTCTACCTTTGAAATTACTGAATGTCGGATTAAGTACAATCTGTTAGCGACCTCAGCTGACAGTATGATCTTAATCTGGAACTATGACAATTTTCAACTTAGAGGAATTTGATTCTATCAAAGAAATAATATAAGAAGATTTGAATTCCTTGATGACCATCTTGTACTCATTTCAATTGACTCTAATGGAAATCTTATTGGTTGGGATCTTAGGACCAGTAATACTTTCAATTACTACTACAAGCCATTATTCAAAGTTCTTCTTAAACCAGAAAATGGTGCAAATTTGATGGTCAACAACATGATGATATTTAAAATTGAGAAAGATCGTTTACTCGACCAGAGTTATGACCTCACTGACCAAAACTTTATTAAATTTTACAAAAGGTTCCAAAGAATTGTCAAAAGATCAGCTACTCTCATTAACATACACTCTTTTCAGTCTAAGAAGGTAGAGCAGAAGAAGGAAGTAGAGTTGATTTATTTATGCACAGATAACGGTAGGATATTTTGTTGTGATCTCAACATTATTCTTAACTCAATGAACCTTGAGAAAGGTCATTTAAAAGAAAAGCCTTTTAATGCATTCATGAAATGTTACTCACCTTACAACGAATGGTTCAAAGATAAGAATCAAGTGTTTAAGGTCTTAGAGAAAATATCAGATGGGGTAGATCAGTCTCCTCAATCGTAAGTAATATCTTACTGCAAACAGAACTTATCAAAATATAGTCCCAACAGCAAATCAGATGATAAATCAATGAAAATACCCCCTGTCAGAGTCATAGAAGAGCAAACTGTTTTCTCTACTCTCAACACAAATCTCACAATGGAGGATGATTTATTCCCACATTTTAGTTGGAGAGCCCATAATGGCTCTGCCAGTGCAATGCAGTTGATAAAGCTTCCTAAAGAGTACATCGTCATTGGAGCTGAAGATAAGCATATTATAACAATATTCTCGTTATTCGGCAAACTTCAATGAATCTATAACCTCGAATTTCCTCTCCCAACACTCTGGACTCTTAGTGTAAGTTCTCTTGAGAGGAGGAAAGAACAGTTTGAAGCAGCTGCTCTTCTATTAGACCAAATAGAACTCTTCCATAAATTAAAAGGAACTAAAAAGGCTAAATTGTATGATACCTGTCTAACCCAATAGTAATTTCAGTTCGAAGAGAGCAAGTGAAAATACTTCTCAGATTCTTGACGAATACGGAGATAATACTGTGGTCGTAAACCTCAAGAAAGTTCCAAAAATGAGCGCAAATGTTCAGCAAGTCAGGAAAAGCCAAGGAGTTCTTACCTTCGAGGAGCTTCTTACCAAGGTTGACTCTGAAGTAGCTAATGGCTTTGAGCCATGCACATTCTCTCTCAGAAAAATTGATGCGAAGAACAGGAAGCTATTTGAAGGTAAAATTTGATAATAATCAATAGAACCTCCTAAGAAAGACTATCTTAATGATTCAAACACAAATATCCGATTCCCAGAAGAGCCGTATGACCAACTATTCGGTATTCTAAACAATCTTAAATTCTAATAGATGAGAAAGAAGATAAATCAAAGGTGAACAAGCCTTCTGAAAACCCAAATCTGACAGATAGAGAAAAACTTCAGCTATTTGTCAAAGAGGTTGGAGACCAAGGCCTCTTGAATGAATTCTTACCAACCAATTACTTACCAGCTAGAGAAATGAAGAAGATCATGGAGTATTATCAGTACACTTTGGCTAAGGACTTCCTCAAGCTAAAAAGATCATTAAGCAAAGATAAGATAGATAAACAAACAGTTAAAGGTATCCCTCCTTGTGATTTTCTAGAGCTACGGATCCTTACAGATTATGAAATCGATGAAGAAGATTCTGACTTTGATGATAAGGAACCAAAGAAATCCACCCGGTCTCCTTTCATACAAGGATTGGGTGAAGATGCATCACAAACAACTCGAGATAGGATGAAAAGAATGAACATCATTAAGAAAAAGAAAAAGTTTGAACTTTTCAAAAAGAATAGACACAAAGGATCCTTACCCAACCTTAGAGATCGTATTTTTGTATTTTCAATAATATAGCGGTTCCTTCTTTTGCTCCTGCTCCGAACTCTGTGAACAAAATGCTAACCCGGCATGCTTTCTTCACAAGGCAAGTGTTATAGTAGCCATGAAGTTGTAAAAATTACGAGACTTCTCTATGCTCTTCGTCAGATTCCTAAATCTAGTTGTAATTGGTCTGAATATAGTAGAAGGAAAAGAAAGAGTGTTCCCAAAGAGCCAGCAAAGAGAAACCCCCCAAAAGCAAAAATGATCAACCTCGGAGAGGATGCATTTGATGTTCATAACAAATTGTTGATGAAATTTTTTACTAGAGTAACCAGGATTTCTATACCTATTCCTTCAATTTTTAGCTTGCTAATCCAACCACAAGACAAGAGAAGTTTACCATTGTCAAAAAGATCAAAGATATATATGATAGAGACAGAAAACGAAGAGGGTAAGGCTCTGGATTTCAATTCTGAGCTTATTTCGGAATATAGGAACCAGAAGAAAGAATTCATCAAATTTGACATTAAGTCATTCCCAAAATCAAAGGACACTAAGCCAATGACCAGATTCGAAGCTAGGACGATCAATTTAGCGTAATTTCTCAGCTTGGCTTTCAATCTTTTAGATTTGTCATGGGGTTTTGGGGTTTTGGGGTTTTGGGGTTTTGGGG